CTTCATAGGGGACGTGAAGCTGTCTGAGGTGAAGCAGGCCCTGGCGCGCGCCGGCATCAGCAGTGCGTTCCGCGGAGGCAAGCTGCTGTGCGCAGGCGCGGTGGTGGTGGGGCGCGGTGGGGGCGGGGCCGCGGACGACGGCGCGCTGGAGATCGAGGGGCCCCTGTCGGATGACTACTTCCGCGTGTGAGCCGTTGCTGCGAGGGCGGGGGTGGGGAACGGCCGCCGGACCAGCGAGGGCGGGGCGCCGTGCGCTGCAGGGCGGACACGGAGCCAGTGCAGCAGGGTTGGCACGTGTATGAAGCACATCCGGGCTGGCTCGCGCCGCACCCCCAAACCTGCCAGCCCATCGATGCTCCGGGCCGCGGGTTGCCTGTGTGTGTGGGAGGGGCCCCTGGGCGCACGGGGGGCGCTGCCGTGCTGCTCTAGACCGCCCACCAGCGGCTCGTGTCTTGCCCCCTGCGCCCATCAAGCCCCGGCTGTACCCCGCCCTCCTCCTCCACCGCCCCCTACCTGTCCGCCCCCAGCCGCGACGTCGTCTACGGGCAGGTGCGTGCTTGAGGCTCGGCGGATTGGCGCTGCACAGGGTCGCAGGGGCGTGCGCCAGGGGGGCCGCGCTCCCCTTGAAGGCGACACGGCCGTGACACGAGCGGGGCAGGGCGGCTGATCCTTGTCACCCCCACCCCCAACCACTTCTCACCTGCCTGCCCACCATTCCTTCACTTCCGACTGACAAATCGCGTTCTGGTTGACTCCCACCCGTCCCGCCCCGGGTGCTAATACCTGTCTCCCTTGCCACGCTGCAGTACCAAGTGTGCTGACGTCGGGGCACCCAACCATGCGGCAAAAATTGGCGCGACACCCAAATTGGCGGGACACCCCAACTGGCGGGATGCCCAAATTTGCGGGAAGCGAGCCCGGCTCATGTTTTGCTGGATCTGTGTGGGCTGCTTGCTTTATGCTTATGCGTATGCTTATGCTTGATCAATCATTGGCGCCTTCCCTGTCAATGACCACCAAATCCATTCTGAGCAGCCGCTGCGGGGCCCACACGGGCTCGCATGTTTCTGCGGGATGGCGTGTCGAGAGGGCAGATGGGCGAGCCCGGGCGCTCCACCGCATCAAAAACAACAATACAAAAATCCTTTTAGGGGTGCAGTCCACCTCGCATGGTCCTGTGGGCCTGACCCAAAATGCGGGCTGGTATGGACGTCTGCAATCGTGAGAGGCAGCTGTGCGGCAGCTAGAGGGGTTCCATGCACGATCCACACGGCAGAAGTAAGCACCAGTTCTCGAAGCCGCCGTCTTCACCATTAAGATACATAGTAGAGGTTTCAAACAGCACAAGCCAACGCTGCGGTTGTCGTGTCGACATATACAATTCCACGGCCGGCGTGCAGAGTCAAGGTCCGAGTGATCGTGCTTACGGCAGAAATTTTAGCTTGAAAACTGGAGGCCGTTGGCTCCTTCGCCGCGAGGTGGGCTGCGTTCGGACCGGAAGGCCTAAATAGGCGGTGGATAGCGGTCCCCAACGCCGGCCGATGTTCGGCAATTCATGGAAATAGGTCGAACGCGTAACCGTGGACAGCGGCCCCAGGGATGCGGGTGGCGCTACTTCATGCGATGGCGCCGCTTTGCCATCTGCAGATGATGCTCAGCTGTCCTTTGTTGCTGGGATGCAGATGGGCATCGCTCTGGGCGTCCTGAGGGCCCAGAGGCTGGGGGATGATGTGAGGAAGGGCTGCATCGACCTGGGGCAGGTGCGACCGCATGGCGGCTGGACGGATGTGCCAACTAGTTCACGCTGACGAGGCTGATTCGACGCCCGCCGCGCCCGCCCCAGGCAGTGCCAGCAGGGGTCACTCCTGGTGCACGCCCCTCGCCATCACCAAACGTGCTCACAACGCACCGCCTTGCATTCCCGCACTCCACGACCGCGCAGCTGGAGCGCGAGTGTGCGAAGCGGCCGGAGCTGCTGCGGGCGCGCGGCCTGGCCTTCCAGCAGAGCCTGCTGCATGCGGCCGCCCAGGCCGCCAACGAGGACGCGCTGCGCTGCCTCCTGCGCTGCGCCCAGGAAGCCGCGCGTGCAGCCGACGTCGACAGCGGCGGCGGCAGCGCCCGCGGGGCCGTCGACGCCCGCAACGCGCGCGGCCAGACGCCGCTAATGCTCGCGGCCGGCCACCCCGCGGGTGCGGCGTGCGTGCGGCTGCTGCTGGGAGCCGGCGCAGACCCCTGGGCGACAGACGCGTGCGGCGGCCGCACGGCGCTGTTCTACGCCGCCTGCGCTGACGCGGCCGACAGCGCCGCTGCGCTGATGGACGCCACCCAGGGGGCGGTTGTGCCGCGCCCCGTGTTCCCCAACGGCCCCGCGACCCGCTACGTCGACGTGCGCATGCTGGCGGGCTTCACGGCGCTGCACGTCGCGGTGGTCGCCGACGCGCGCGGCGCGCTGCGCGAGCTGCTGCGCGGGGCGCCACGGCTAGGGGTGCCCACGCTTTTCGGTTCCTACGACTTTATTGCCTGCCCGCGCGGCACCTGCCCCATGCACCTGGCTGCGCGGATGGGGCGCACCGAGGCTGCTAAGATGCTGCTGCTGGCTCACGTGAGTGCTGGGCGGGGGGGCAGGCCGGAAGTCAGGGTGGGGGAGGGGGGCACATGCGGTGGCCCACGCATGCGCTGCGTCTTGTGGCTGGGGCAGTGGGCACCTCCGCGGAGGGCGGTGTGGCGGTGGTGGTCACGCTGCATGCGGTGCGTACCGTGCCTGCACCACGTGATTGTCACCTTCTCGCCTCCTTCCCACCATGAACCCACACTCGTGCACGTGCGCGCACACTGACGCGCCGATGCGCACACACGCATGCGCTGCGCCCTCTCAACTTGCGCAGGCCGGCTCCCCCGCTGCGTCCCGTGCCCTGGACCCCCGCGCCCTCCTGGACGACTTTGGCCGCCTGCCCTGCCACCTGGCGGCCATCAACTCACACCACGACCTCGCACACCTGCTGCAGCCGGGCCTGCCGTTCTCAAGCGCACTGGGCGGCGATGCCGACCTGTACTTCGACGGAGCACCGTCCCTCAAGCTGCTGGCCGCGGCAGCGCTGCGCGCGCGGCAGCAAGAGACGCTTGCGGCTGCACAGGCCACGCTCGGCCTTCTCGGCGGCGGTGACGGCGACACAACGCGCGATCCAGTGGCGGCAGTGGCATGCTGTAAGGCGGCGGTGGCGGCTGCTGCGGCGACAGCTGACGGTCACCGCGTGCATGAGGCGTGCTCGGTCGACGCCGGGGCGTGCGAGGCAGCCGCACTGGACGCGGACGCGGGTGCCGGTGCACCGCTGCGGGGCAAGGACGTCGGCTTTGTCATGGGCCGCACTGCTGCATGCGGCTGCGGTACTCTGGCGCCGGGCGGCAGCGGGGAGGCGGCGTTGGTGCTGCGCCGCGGCGAGGACGCCCTCACAGGCGGGTCGTGCTGCTCTGAATCAGGCGACAGCGAGGACGAGTGCTGCGGCGTCTGCCTGGACGCACTGCCTGTTATGCGCCTGCAGCCCTGCGGTCACATCATGTGCTCCGCCTGCTGCGTCGGGCTGTTTGGCATGCAGCACGCCGAGGTCGTGGCCTGCCCCTTCTGCCGCAGCGTGGTCGGGTGCTTCCGCCCCGCATGCTGCTGATGCGGGGGCGTGGGCCCTCTCGCACCAGCCCAGTTTGAGCGCGCGTGTGTGCGCCACCATGGCTCTGCTGTGGCGCTGCATTGCATCCTGCTGCCCCCGCAGCCGCTGAGGGAGCTGCCTGTGTGCTTGGATGTACGCTCCCTATTCCCGCACCACACGCCCAACCCCGTCTTTGAAACAGCTGCAGGAGCCCTGCATGCCGCGAGCCTTGCAGGGCGGCGCTGCGGCGCCACGAGCTCGTGGCGCAGGGCACGCCCTGCTCCTAGTGTCAGGCAAACCCTCCCACGCCGTCTCTGGCGCGTGGTCACCCGTTTTGTCATTCGCTGTCTTCTGTGGCTGTTTGCTCGCCACACTGCTGTCCTCCGTACCCATCGCGTGGCCCACTTGGAGCGCCGGGCCAGTGCCCGCTCTTGCCAGGTAGACCCGCTGATTATCAAACTACAGTCCTGCACCATCAGCACACATGCGACCATGACCGGCCACGTGGCCGTGACGCTCGCAGTGTGTCTGCTGTGCGCCTGCATTGCTCAAATACCTGCACCCTGCACCGCCAGAAGGTTTCTTGGCAACCGCAAGCCCGCTGTGACCACCTGCGAGCGGGTAGTACCGCCTGTGGCCTGCTGGCCGTCTTCCCGCACGATTTGCGTTTTGCAAGCGATCACAACGCCAGGGGAAGGCGACGTCGCAAGCCCCTGTACCCCTAGTCCTGCCGCTGGCCCACGAGCGCGCCACCGCCCCCTGCGCCGCAACTGCACCGCTGCCGCTTGCATCACCTCCGCCTGCAGTGCTTGCTCGCACCTCGCACCTCCCAACACCTTCCTCGCCGGCGAGTGCTGCGGCTCACGGATGGCGAGTACGTATGCCGCATGACTGGTTGGCCTCCCTGCAGGCCGCCACACGGCTCCCATATCGCCACGCCCATCTGTCCTACAGCTGCCGCGAAGCTGCTGATCCGCGGCCAGGTGCTCATGCTGTTGACTGGTCGCGGCGGGCGGGTCTGCGAGTGAACGACCCCATGTCAGAAGGCCGTGCCTGACCCCGCCCGCCCTGCCACGAGGCGCCGTCCTGCTCGTTCCTTTTGCTTGCAGATTTTGCTTGTTTTGAACGCGTGCCCAATGCTTTTCTCAGTTCTGCGTGGCCCCTGTGTGCCCCTCTGTTTTGCAGCCAGCCCCACTGCGTTCTAGCCACCGTTTTCTCAGGGCAAGTTGCTGTCTGTGATGCTGAACAACCCTCACCCCTTATACAGGCGTTTGGGCGCATGACGCACACCTTTGGCACCTTGCATAATGGCTTGTAATCTTTCCATTATTTCCTCGCTGCCGTGGCTGCGCAGCACCGCGGAGCGGCCACCAGGCAGCAAGCAACAGTCGTGGCAGCCGCAATGTTGGCAGTAGGCCAGGGGGATTTGTTGAGGTGCAGACTGACAGGCCTAAGAAAGGACTAGGTGCGCTGGTCATCCCAGCACCACCTGCAGCTGAGAAAACTGGTGGCCGCTGCCCGCAACCTTGTCAAATCGTGGCTTGGCAGACCGCTGCTGGGCCTGCCCGCACGTTGTGCAGTCTGGGTCAGGTCCTCTGCGCTGCTGCCGCGTCTCTGCTCTCGGTCACTTGTATACTCCTGTTGCCACAATCCTGCTTGTGAATGCAAATGCATGGGGATTACGCACCATTAGTCTCTTCTCATGAAGATGACACGGCCATGGACACGGGTGGGGCAGGGGCGGCTGATCCTTGTTTCGGGTCCATCTTCCCACCACCGCTCATCCGCCTGCCCGCCAATGCTTTGCACCTGACTGACCAAATGCGTTTTATCACCTCCCACCTGTGGTGTGCTCTGGGGGCCCCTGCCTGTCTCCCGCGCCGCTTTGCAGTAGCAAATGTGCTGACTTTGGGACGCCCAAAATCAGGCGGCAAAAAATTTGGGCGTCCCGCCAAATTGGCGAGAAGCAAGCCCAGCACACCGTTTGCTGGATCTATGTGGGCTGCTTGCTTATCCTTATGCTTGCATTATGAATCAAGTTTCTTTAATTTATGTCAATGACCTTCAACCACAATCTGAGCGGCCGTTGAGGGGCCCAAGCGGGCTCGCACTCTTTTGCGGGACGGCATGTCGAGAGGGCGCAGGCATGTCGATAGGGCGGATGGCGAGCCAGGCCGCTTCATCGCCGCTGCATCAAAATAAACAGCAAACCAGATCTTCTAGAGGCCCAATAAATCTTGCATGGTCCACTGGGCCTGGCCTGACCCAAAGTTTGGACTGGTCTGCAAGCATGGGCGGCTGCCGTGCAGCAGCCACGCACCAGACATGGTCCACGCACAATCCGCACGGTAGCAGTAGGCGTCGACTTCACAATCACGGTCAAATCCAATTCAAAACTTAGGATTAAGAACGGGCAGCACATCCATCTCTGCGGTTGTCGACTTTAGAGGATGGTCACACGGTGATTCGATTGGGCCAAATAGAGTCAGGTGCGAGTGACCTTGCATACAACAGATATATTTGGCTTACATTTTGAGGCCGGCAGATCCGTCGCGGCGAGGTGAGCTGCGTTCGCGCGGGAAGGCCGAAAGAGGCTGTGGACATCGGTCCCCAACTCCGGCCAATGTTGGCCAATTGATGGCAATCCACCCCTTGATGGCAATCAGTACAAAGCGTGACAATGTAAACGTGGACAGCTGCTCCAGGGGTGAGGGTTGCGCGGCCCATGGGATGGCGCCGCTTTGCCGATGGTGCCCCACTGACGTTTGTCACTGCGCAGCAGATGGGCATCGCTCTGGGCGTCCTGAGGGCCCACAGGCTAGAGGATGATGTGAAGAAGGGCTGTGTCGACCTGGATCAGGTGCGACCGCAGGACGGCTGGGGGGAGGTGTGTCAGCCAGTCCACGCTGACGAGGCTTGAAAAATGCACGCCGCGCCCCAGGCAGTGCCAGCAGGGGCCCCTCGTGCTGTGCTGCCACTTGCTATGGTAAACGCGTTCGCGACGCCATGCCTCACATCACCTTGCCCTATGACCGTGCAGCTGGAGCGCGAGTGTGCGAAGCGGCCGGAGCTGCTGCGGGCGCGCCGCCTGGCCTTTCACCCAAGCCTGCTGCATGCGGCCACCCAGGCCGCCAACGAGGACGCGCTGCGCTGCCTCCTGCGCTGTGCCCAGGACGCCGCGCGCGCCGCCGCCATCCACGGCGGGGGCGGTGCGCTGCCCAGCAGCACCCACGCCGCTGTCAACGCCCGCAATGCGCGCGGCCAGACGCCGCTTATGCTGGCAGCCATCCATCCTGCGGGCGCAACGTGCGTGCGGCTGCTGCTGGGAGCCGGCGCAGACCCCTGGGCAGCGGACTCGTGCGGCGGCCGCACGGCGCTGTTCTACGCCGCCTGCGCTGACGCGGCCGACAGCGCCGCCGCGCTGCTGGACGCCACCCAGGAGGCGCTTTTGCCGCGACCCGTGTTCCCAAACGGCCCCGCGACCCGCTACGTCGACGTGCGCATGCTGGCGGGCTTCACGGCGCTGCACGTCGCGGTGGTCGCCGACGCGCGCGGCGCGCTGCGCGAGCTGCTGCGCGGGGCGCCGCGGCTGGGGGTGCCGACGCTTTTTGGGTCGTACGACTTTATCGTCTGCACGCGTGGCACCTGCCCTATGCACCTGGCTGCGCGGATGGGGCGCACCGAGGCCGCCAAGATGCTGCTGCTGGCTCACGTGAGCGCCAGGGGCAGGCAGGGAATGAGGGGGGTGCACACGCGATGGCCCATGCATGCGTTGCGTCTTGTGGCTGGGGCGATGGGCACCTGCCCGAAGGCTGTCTGGCTGCAGTCGTCGCGCGGCATGCTGCGCCCTGCTCCAGCGCGCCTGCACCACGCAACTGCCACCTTTTGGCCTCCTTCCCACCTTCAACCCAAAAATAAATCATGCGCGCAGACACACGCAACCCCCATATGCACGCATGCTCTGCGCCCTCTTCACTTGCGCAGGCCGGCTCCCCAGCTGCGTCCCGTGCCCTGGACCCCCGCGCCCTCCTGGACGACTTTGGCCGCCTGCCCTGCCACCTGGCGGCCATCAACTCACACCATGACCTCGCACACCTGCTGCAGCCGGGCCTGCCGCTCTCAAGCGCACTGGGCGGCGATGCCGGCCTGTACTTCGACGGAGCACCGTCCCTCAAGCTGCTGGCCGCGGCAGCGCTGCGCGTGCGGCAGCAAGAGACGCTTGCGGCTGCGCAGGCCACGCTCGGCCTCGGCGGCGGCGGCAACGGCGGCTCTGAGTGCAACATAGCAGCGGCAGTGGCATGCTGTAAGGCGGCAGCGGCGGCTGCGACGATGGCCGACAGTCACCGCGTGCATGCGGCGTGCTCGATGGACTCGGCCTCACCGGTTGTGGGCACCGGTGCGCCTCTGCGTGGCAAGGACGTCGGCTTTGTCATGGGCACCACTGCCGCATACATCCGCGCAACTGCAGCACTGGGCGCCGGGGAGGCTGTGTTGGGGCCTGCCCCTAGCGAGGACGCCCTCACAGGCGGGTCGTGCTGCTCTGAATCAGGCGACAGCGAGGACGAGTGCTGCGGCGTCTGCCTGGACGCACTGCCTGTTGTGCGCCTGCAGCCCTGCGGTCACATCATGTGCTCTGCCTGCTGCGCCGGGCTGTTTGGCATGCAGCACGCCGAGGTCGTGGCCTGCCCCTTCTGCCGCAGCGTGGTCGGGTGCTTCGGCCCTGCGTGCTGCTGATGCGGGGGCGTGGGCCCTCTCGCACCAGCCCAGTTCGAGCGCGCGTGTGTGCGCAACCATGGCGCTGCTGTGGCGCTGCATCGCGTCTGGCTGCCCCTGCAGCGGGCGGCTGAGGGCGCTGCCTGTTGTTGCACGGACAACAACATCCTCCGCACCATGCGCCAACCCTCGTCATCAATAAAAGTTTCATCGGCTCTGCTTGTCGCGTGGAACTTTGAGGGCGGCGCTTAGGCGCCACGAGCGCTTGGCCCAGGGCGCGCCCTGCTCCCCGTGTCAGGCAAACCCTCCCACGCCGTCTCTGGCGCGTGGTCACCCGTTTTGTCATTCGCTGACTTCTGTGGCTGTTCGCCCGCCACACTGCTGTCCTCCGTACCCATCGCGTGGCCCACCTGGAGCGCCGGGCCAGTGCCCGCTCTTGCCAGGCGGGTCGGTTGAATATCAAACTTCCCTCTGCGCTCGCCGTTGACCATCTCGATCAGTCCTGCACCATCAGCGCACATGCGACCATGACCGGCCTCGTGGTCGTGACGCTCGCAGTGTGTCTGCTGCGCGCCTACATTGCTTAATACCTCTACCCTGCACCGCCAGAAGGTTTCTTGGCAACCGCAAGCCCGCCATGACCGCCTGCGAACTGATAGTACCGCCTGTGGCCCGATGGCCGTCTTCACGCAAACATTTTTTGAGAGATTGGCAACGCCAGGAGAAGGCAACGCCCTGCACCCCTGTACGCATAGTCCTGCCATTGGACCCCGCCCCCTTGCGCCCGAATGCACCGCTGCTGCTTGGTTGCAAATTCTGCCTGTGGTGCTCAATTGCACCCTGCACCTCGCAAAACCTTCCTTGCCAGCGAATGCTACATGTATGTCACGGCTGCTGAATGCCCTGCATGACCGGTCACTGGCCTCCCCAAAGGCCGCCACAGGGCTCCCGTTTTTCCACGTCCATCTGTCCTGCAGCTGCTGCTGAGCTGCTGAGCCATGAGCAGTCGCCCATGCTGTTGACTGGTCTTGGCGGGCAGCTCTTCCCCAAAACGGCCCCATGTCAGAAGGTAGTTCCTGCCCCCGCCCGCCCCAGCACGAGGCGTCATCCTGCTCGCCCCTTTTGCTTGCAGATGTGCTCGCACTCGTCTCTGTGAATGCGTGCGCGATGCTTTTCCGAAGTGAGAGTCTCAGCTCTGCGTGACCCCCGCGTGCCCCTCTGTTTTCACATCCAGCCCCATTGCGTTCTCGCCACCCTCAGGGCAAGTTGCCGTCTGTGATGCTGAACAACCCTCACCCCTTATGCAGGCGTTTGGGCGCATGACGCACACCTTTGCCACCTTGCGTATTGGCTTGTAATACTTCCGATGCTTGCTCTCTGCTGTTGCTGCGCCGCGCCACAGAGCTGCCAGCAGGGCGCACGCAACAGTCGCGGCAGCAGCAATGTTGGCAGTAGGCCAGGTAGGGTGATGTATCAAGGTGCAGACTGGCCTAACAATGGAGCAGGTACACTGGGCATTCCAACACCACCTGAAGCTCAGGAGTTTGTTGGCTGCTGCCCACAACCTGCTGTCTGCATCATATCCTGGCAGACCGTTGCGAGGCCTGTCCGCACAATGTAACAAGAGGTCTAGGTCAGTTCCTCTGCCCTGCTGCCACGTCTCTGCTCGCTCCCGGTCAATCGTATGCTCCTGCTGCTACAATCAATGCAAATCCACGGGACCGCGCACCTTCGGTCGTCTTCAATGCGGCAAGCTCGTCGCTGCATGCCCCGCACCGTCACTCCGCGCCACCCGAACTTTCCTGCAGCCGCCGCGCGCGCTACCACAGCAGCCGCGCTGGTCCCTCTATGTGCTGTCCTCAGGTTCGCATGCTCGCCTCAACCTAGTCCCCCCACCCCACCCCACCCACTTTGCCTGTACCAGATTGAATGTGCCAGATTGCCTGTACATATTGCCAATATGTACAGGCAATCTGGCACATTCTGTCAGTGACAGCCCGTCGCCCAACCACTAGCGAGCAGGCTGAATGTGCTGTATCACCTGGCTGCATAGCACCGAGCGCCATGAAACATATTGCAGCTTGATACAAGTGAATGTTGCTTGCATCACTGCATTGTTCTGAGTTGCAGTGCGGCGGCATGTGACATCTTGGGTTTCCTCTCCATGGTCTGTATTGTCACGACCTCCGATGCCCTCTGTAGAGACCCCCACGCTGACACTTGCACGTTAGATACATCAGCAAGTGCACAGGGGCACTATCTAGGGCCTGGTGTGCAGTTCCACCTGAGGATGGCACACACGGCAGCTGGCGCCGAAATGCGCAGCCACCGCAGTCAGCTGATGAAACACTTCAGTGGGCCACGAATCACTTGGTTGGGGGCGAGTTAGGGGGAGAAGTTTTTGCGACAGAAATCATGAACAATCTTTGCTTTTTTTCTATGGGTGGCAGTTCGGAACCAGCGGAACGACCGCACGGCTTTTACCACGCGCAAACGGCTGCTCTGCTTGCGGTAAGTCCATTTCAGGCCACGCACAGTGGTCCAAGCGAGATCGGCCCCAGGATACGCGTGTCACTAGGAGTAACGCACTTGGCCCACTTGGCCACCGCGGAAACTGCACCTACCCAAACTCCATGATCACTCGAACGCTGGTGTGCGTGGGCTGACAAAACCACATGTTCAAGAAACACTTTCATCCCTAAGCGCCCCGGCCCCACCCTCAAGCTCGGCCTGCCAGCCCCCCAACTCACCCAGCACGGAGAGACCGCTCGAGGTGAGATCGCTGGCACGTCTGTATTCAAGTGCGGTTACCAGACAATTTTTCAACGTGATGGGCCACGGGAGGCGGGCGGCAGGGCCAGCGTTGATGGCCCCCGAGTGCAGTCATCGCTCATGGGCTGCACCATGGCTGTCTGAATGTGCTGATTTTGGGCCTAGGAGGCGCGTACTCCCCTAGCAATACAGGTGCATGGCAGGATTCCGTGCATCACAGCCACCCTCTTGTGCTGGGAACGAGCAAAGCACAAGCATGCCTAGCCGTGCGCCTGCAGGCGATGGCGGGGGCAAGCAGCAGGCCGGACCCCCAGGGGCCCACGCACATGCCAACCGCTGTACCGGTATCTCGCTCGCCGCCTTCACCCCCCTCAGCTGGAAGGAGCCGACATACACGCTGTCTCACTTCTTGTGTAAACGGCAGCAATGGCAACGCGTGCACCCCTCGTGACAATGCTGCTGGTTTTTACGCTCCTTGCGATGATGCCCGCTGCATGGGGTGAGCCCTGCAATGAGGCGTCTCGTTGTGCCTTCAGCAGCATCCCGTACTGCGTATATTGTTGGGAGAGGACAGAGACAAGCTTCCCCTGCAGGGCATGCACCATGCCGCACAGCAGCTAGTCCCAGGCAGGGTGGCCGGCACGCACCCGTCCGTCTATCACTCCACCCACCCATGAGTGTGGACGGCGTCGCCGGCGGCTTGTATGTTGCACGCAGGAGCGTCCTGCGCCCCTGCCCCCAAGGGCTACACGACCAGGCAGGACCTCAACTGGGTCGGCAGTGACAACACCATTGAGGGTCAAACGTCTGCTAAGAATGCCGCCATCATCTGCAACCTGGACGACAACTGCCTGGGCTGGAACAACTATGGGTGTGTGCGTTTGTGCCTGTAAATGTAACATCATGTTTTTTAACCCACTCACCCACCCGGCCAGCATCGCCTGCCAAGCTTGAATGCGAATGCTGCACTCACGCAATCTATCAAACTCAACCTGTAAGGCAAACACCAAACCAACGCAACGCACCTTCCGTTGGCATGCACCCAATGACGCTGCCCACAGGTATTACATCCTGAAGAAGGCGGATGTTGACGCGCAGGATGCCGGCATAACCTACTACTCCCACCAGGGCTTCTGCCTCTACATGAGGGTCGTCTGAGCCGCCCCCGGCGCAAGCCACTGGCTGCAAGTGCGCATGCGTAGGCAAGCACTCATAAGCATTTGAGTGTTGCCACTTGCAAGCATGTCTGTTGCGAGCTACGTGCAGCCGGCGTCATGTACGCGCCGTGTCCTGTACAGGACAATTGCATATGAGACTGACAAGCTACGCCCTGCAGTAAGTACATACATGGTTGCTGCTGTGTGCACTTCCGGGTCACCTTTGGTAATGCACCCTCCCAGCTGTAACTAGCCAGACCAGTCTGATATGATGTCCTCCAGGCTAGTCAGGCAGTTTATTGGGCAACTCCTACACCACATTTATGCACAGTCGGCACATAAGATACAGAGTGGGTTTGCGTACCGTACTCAGGCATGCCGGCACCAGCGACCCCAATCAACGTTGACACTTGGCTGAGGCACATTTTGCTGGGTCTGCATACATCTCATAACAAGCTTGTGCTGGGTCGGGATCAAACTGCACCAACGGCAGCCCAGCTGATGAGGCTGGCGTGCTCCTTCGCATGTCCCTAGTGCATGTTCAGCTCTTCAACAACCAAGTATTCCGCCATAGCAATGCTCCGGACCTGTACCTTCACAGCTCGCAATACGATAACTTGATGAATGCAAAACACGATTGAAAACTTGTTGTGCGCAATGGGCGTACTGCGGGCGACACGCGCGGGCTGGGGCAACGCAGCCCACAATGCAGTGCAGCCAAGACGCACATTACACAGGCACTCCGGACACGCGCTGAAGCACCCGGCGGGCCACGGGTCACCCAGCAAGAAGCGATTTGGGGGGGCCCGGATTTTTCTGATGCATTCGATGTGCGCTGGACTCTCCTGAAAGGGGTGGGCGTTGCCCTGAACCAATGAAGCAGATCGGCCTGCGAAGCTTGAACCCCGATTTGATCATGCGCAAACGATGCTAATAAGTTGTGTGATTCCACTCTCTGGCCACGCACACTGGTCCAAGCAAGATCGGCCCAAGGACACGCGTGTCACTAGAAGTCACTCACTCGGCCCACTTGCCACCATGGAAACTGCACAAACCCAAACTCGAGGCTCAATCAAATGCTGGTGCATATCGCCTATAATCAGCACCTTCCCGAGACATTGCCATCACGGCTCACCGGCCCTAGTCGAGCTCGACCTGCCAGCCCCCAACTCACCCCGCCCTGAACAATCTTGGGTGAGCTCACGGGCAGAACGGCCTTCACGTAAAATAATAACATGATCTGATTATTGTCAGTCGATTGGGTCACAAAGGAGCCACTGCACGGCATCTGGTGCTGATCCACAGCTGGGGCTGCGCACTAGCTGCTTGGTTCACATTGCAGCTGCCTTATGGGCTGCCTTGTGACCTGATCAGTGCGTCTGTGAGGCAGTGATGTGCGTCCAGCAGACACGGGGACCCTTGGTTGGTACCCATTCCCGAGGAACCTGCCTGCCGGTCAGTCATCACCAGCTGGACTGTCAAGTTTCCAATTCCCCACATGCGCCTGCGCGGGCGCACTGCACACCAATGCGAGCCGTTGTCAGAATTTTTGTTGGTCACTTCATCTGTCCGTTCAACGCGGAGCTGGGCTTGGTCTGCGTGCAAACAGGCGGTCCATATAAGCTTGCATCCCAACTTGATGCACTGCTCACGCAGCCATGTGCCCCACCACTTGCGGCGCACCCCCACGTGACTATGTGCAGAGCAGCCATGGCCGTGCGCGCATCCCTAGTCGCAGCGCTGCTGGTTTTCTGCCTCCTTGCGGCGACGCCAGCTGCGTGGGGTGAGCCAACTGTTTTGCAGGCCTGTACTATTGTGAGAGAGTGCTGTGTATCTGCATGATTGTGCGCCCGTGATGCGAGGCTCTGGGCGCCCGTGCCGTGCAGCAGCAACCACGAGGGTTGTTTGTAGGCTTGTACCTAGCTCTTGTGCACGAACTCGTCGTCTTGTTGCACGCAGGTGCGTCCTGCGCCCCTGCCCCCAAGGGCTACACACTCAAGGCCGACCTCAACTGGGTCGGCAGTGACTCCACTGTCGGCAGCCAGACGTCTCCCAAGAATGCTGCACTGATCTGTAACCTGGACGACAATTGTCTGGGCTGGAATTCATATGGGTGAGCGTTTCCTGGTATCCATTCAATTGTCCTGGAGTACTGTGTGCTTAGAGCGTGGCATGGGCTGTACGCATCCCGCGCAACGCGCCACAGCCTTTGACCAACCAAAACATGTCTGGTTTGCCCCTACCCAATGCCACCCTACAGGTACTACATTCTGAAGAGCATCAAGGTGAAGGTTGAGGAGCCAGACGCCGGCATCACCTACTACGCTTACAAGGGCATGTGCCTCTACATGAAGCCTGTTTAGGCCACTAAGACACCGGGCGTGTGCAACATCAATGCCTGCAGGCAGCACATCCCGCGGCTGCAAATGTAGTGTGTTCCCTGCATGCATGCAGCGTGCCAGGATTGTGTGGCGGCCCCTGGTTGGTTGCTCAATTACCCAGCAGTCTTCAGCGTGGCTTGGAGCTGTAAACCCTTTTGCCAGGCAGTTGCAAGCAGAGAGGTGGTGCATGTGTGGAACTACTGTGAGTAACGTGCAAAACCTTGCGTGACGCCTGAATGACGAGTCACGTTTGATCAAATTCCCGGCGACACACAGCTGCTGTCTGCTGCAGACAGTAGCATATCTTAGATCTGCACACCTACAGCACCATGAGACACGACTGGTTTTGTAGTAACCATTTGTCCAAGTTAAACTGCATAATCATGCTCATGTCATGCGACAAATTACAGTACACAAGACGCCCCAGAGATGGCGCCAACCCTTGCGCGCCCTGCAATGACTAATGTGACGCCTGAGTAACGCCTTGCTTGGCCTCCGGCACCCCCGCGCTACAGTGGCCCTTTTCTGCCCTGTTGTGCGCCAATCTAATACCTAAACTGCACTGTTTATTTTGTTGTTTGAGACACCAGCACACAGTGCCTTTCCAGCAAGATTTGGGTT